ATTCAGAAACCTTTGAAACGTAAAAATATGTAAAAATATATAAAAATATCGTTTTTTGCGATTACTATAACTTATCCTAAGGTAAGTTAAAATTGAAAAATTTTGATTTTTTTTTAATTCAGATAAAAATGGATACTGATTAATGAATTCCCCCTTACCTGCTTACTTTATTCAAGAAATATTAAGGTATATAAAGTTATTTAATTAAATTTAAATTAAAATGTAAATTAGTTTTAAATGAAGATTATTATAGAGGATACAGTATTTTTAGATAATTGGAAGATTAGAATACACATTTACCTAAATAACATAAAATAAATTTTAAATAAAAGTATTGCACAACATTTAGATTTGTATAACATAATATTTCAAATTATTAAATCACAATAATGTTATATTTGAGCATCGAGATCATTAAACTCCTAACTTTGCCAAAATGTCAAATCGCTCCCAATAAATCTAAAAACCACGTGGACTCCCAACCTAAAATAACCCCACTATAAATACCTGATAATCGGCTCCACTTCCCGATGAGGCCACCGATGAATTTTCAGCCGCCGGCCCTGTATTATCCGGGGGGCCTGTAGCACTCGCGGGCACCACTAACAATTCGGCGCATCTTAAACACAATGCATGATAACACGGTAACAACACTGGATCCACATAATGACGCTTGCAATGCGGACATCGCAATTCTTCCTCCATCGCGCCGGACGAAACACAACTGACACGCACGGCGTACGATTCTCGACTGAACGAAGCACGTTCGTGCGATTGTTTATATGGAGGGAATACATAGTCGAGAGCCGCGGTGTTCAGTCGAGTTCCGACGAAGCTGATTCGCCTGCTTAATTTCAGGTACCAATAGGAGAGCAGGGAACGAGACCGGCAATCTGGTCGTTGGGGACTGATGAAGTTTAAGAGGCGTGGATGCATCTCGTTGTTTACCTGTAAGGTTTTATATCAGGACAATATAATTACCTGATGGATTATGCATGATAATAATTATATTTTATTAATTTAAATAAACAACTAAAATTATGTATATATTGTTAGCATCAAAATATTATATATTTTTATAATAATCATTATTATTCTTTTTTTTCCTTATTTTTCATCAAACTACATCTGCCTAAAAAGGCATTCATTATTATTCTTATTTAGAATTCTTAATTTTAATCTTTAATTTAATTAAATTTCTTATTTATTATTATTATTTAAAAATGATTAATTCAAAATATTTCAAGCAAAATTTCCGCAATTTACATTTAGCCACAATACAATGCACCACTAATTAACTTCTTTCTGGATCCCCAAACGTCTTCTTATCAATGGGCACTGAATGTTCATTAAATCATTCAAATCGGTTGATCCGTGCTCTCAAAATCGTCGACGAAAAATTGTATTCGATGTATGTCTGTATGTGTATATATGTATGTGAGGTAAACAAAAATTGTCTTTCTTACCTTAAATATCTCTGAAAATTTGAAAAAAAATAAATAAAATGGCGATAACATTGTTAAAAAATCAGTGGATATCTTTGAATATTTCATGAAAATAAAACGACAAAAACTTAGTGAAAAAATCCGTGGATAGATACCTTTGGATATTTTATATGAAAATAAAACCACAAAAACTTAGTGAAAAAATCCGTGAATCCTTGAAAATTTGAATAAAATAAAACGGAAAATAAAAAATCCATGAACGTTACCATAAATTGGTAGTCCACGGTTTTAACTTGATTTCGAAAGTACCGATTAACCCAAAGAAAACCTTACCTTAGAACAAAGTATGACAAAATGTTGATAAATCTCTAATTTTGCTCGTATGTCGAAGCAACAAATCACTCCTATGGCCGCTTATGTTTCGAATTACTCGTATTCTAATAATTTCTATCCATTCCAACAAGGAAATAAATCCAAAGACTTACAACTGCTGATATGCTATTTAGAATATTCTAATTATTAAAATATTATTATTAATAACAGTAATAAAACAAGTTCATAAATTCCTATACACATTGTATTCATATAATACCTAATATGCATAATGATGATACAAAATGCATTATTCACATCATACAATCATTCTCACAAAATAAAAAGTATAAGAATCTCTCAAAAAATAATATGTTTCATTTCAATTTCATTCGGACTTAGAATATGTTTCAAAGACTGTATCATTCTACTAATAAATATATCATATATTACAATCAATATTTATTACTAAAACGGTTAATATTCTAATTTAATATTATAATATATGTTTACGTAATGTTTATATTAGCTAAGTTATTCATTATTTATATGTATAATATGTATAACCTTATAGGAAATTATTCAGTGTATATGTTAATAAAAAGTTACCAAATAATGCAAAATGATATAGTAGTTTTGAATTTCATAATCATTATTCAATTCAGTTTGATACAATAGATCAAAAAATCTTTTTTTATTTGCGTACTAACATGTACTACTATTCTACAATTTTATGAAAACTGTTTATTTGCCATATACTCTTATAATTGGAATTTACAGCTTAAAAAAACATTAATATTATTATTTGTATTATAAATTTATTACTGGGTCTGGCTTGAACATTGAATGTTCAATAAACTTAGCTAATTTTCTTCTTTATCTGAGGATTCAAATTTGTTGGAAGTAACAACAAAGCAGAATTCTTACATTGCTTTTTGCTAAATTTCAATTTAAAACAAAGTCGACAAGACTTTAGTTATAGCATTGCAAAGAGGTAGTGGTTACACTATATGCCCCTTAATTTTCTAACGGTCATCGTTTGACTTGAATTGCGTGTTCATTTCAATAATTTATAGAGGTACATCATCAATATCTTTAAAAGTGATCACAAACTCTGAATTTTTATGTAACTGCAAATAAAAGTTCTAACAAAGCTATTGAAAAATGTAATAGTACAAAGTCACGGCAACTTTTACAGGACATTTAACATGTTCATTTATAAAATGATTTATAACCTATGAATCTTTTATGTATACACAATCTATTTTTATTACAAGTTGCAAGTGTGCTTATCGAATTCTCTTATTAATTCATTAAAATTCTGTTACATTATAATTGGTACATTTATTTAGCTATTTATTATCGCGATTGTTCATCAATAAAATTTCATTTTCATAATTTTGTTATCAGTTATCACTATAACTATTAATGCTTTATATCCATAAAAAATCTTTCATCGTTTCTTTGAGTATATTTTGCGAGACGCAATTTAAAAGCATCTCAATATTTGATTATATTATTGGTTATTTGAAATACCAATATACGAGATTAAACTTATTCCATTCTCTCATCATTTTTTTATATATGTTATATTTATTATTTGTGTTAACTTATTATTAAGTATGCCTAACATCAATATTATCTCAAATATATGGACTGTTCTATTAGCTATGAAGAAATATTAAGCTGTCACTCAAAATATACAATCGAATAGCAAATTTTTGTATAAAAGCTATAAGATTGATTTCAAATACTGAAATAGTGAATAACTAGATGTAGAGTGAAATGTCACTCTAGTTTATTAATATCATTTTAATTTCTGTCGGTTTAAATCGAAATTTTCAGAAATTAAGCATGGAAAATATATGTTGAAGAAATATTTAACAAATAATCTCTTTGTTTAATTATTATTTTACAGTCTAAGAAACATGACAAAAAGATTAATTATGTTACATATGTATCTACAATATTTTTTATAATATATTTATATATATTTATAGTATTTTTATGTAGTAGTTATATGGATACAATTTTAAATAAATAGAATAGAATTATTACAATAGCTAACATGCTAACTAATGATAATTATAAAAAAAAGTATGTAGATTACTAAACAAAGAAAAAGTTAATGGCAGCCATATTTAGAATTTTAATAACACATTTTACAAATTAATTTCCAATCAATTGATTAGTAACAATTGTATAAATAAATAAAGTAAACAAAACCAGCGTTATAGTTCATAAAATTAACGGTTAAAGAAGAGTTTAAAATAGTAGCACTGAAAAATAGTAGAAAATCTATCTAAAGAAGTCTCTTATATTAACTACTTTTCACTCACATAGTTTTTATATATATATATATCAAACAATTTATTAACAATTATAAATCTGAACAAAGACTTACTAGTAAATTTTGACTTGTATCATAGATCTAAGGTTTTCTTTTTCGCAAAATTATTGACAAAAACATTTTTAAAATATATTGACATAATAAAAAATAAAATTTAAAACATTTTTGATCAAACTTAGTCAATATCATTCAAATTTGATCAAAATGAATACAATCCTTACATCCAAAAGTGGACATAAAATTAATTATTGATCGCATAAAAATAGAAATCCTTGTATAAATATTTAAAACAACGCGACTGATCTTTTATAAAAATAATTACTGGTAGTTTCCTCCAATTTTAAGGTTATTCTCAGAACATTGATTAATAAAATTATATTACACACCTCCACAAAGCAATTACTTCACGTAAGTTCATTCAAGCCCCTGTCGAGTAATCGGGTTTTGATGACCGATCTTTGCATCCCATTCACTAAGTTTGTTACATCTATATTTATATCGCATATTAAACTACTAATTAATACATATACATAAACTAGAATTTCACAAATATTTGTAGAAATATGAAATCAATAAATTGAACATTCAATTATTTGTACTTTCATAAACTATTCCAACATATAAAACAAGTGATTTGTGTTTTGCGCACTTTAAAACATTATGACACAAATATGCTCATTGAATTGTGCTTGTTGAAAAATCATTTAGAACACTTAGAAGTTTCTATAAATATTATCTTATATATAATATTGCATATTTTTCAATAGTCTCTATTTTAGATTACAAAAAATATGTGAAAAAATTAAAGAAAAATACCCAGTTTTATATGATATATAAAAATATTTATAACATTCTACAAATATACATCAATATCAATATGTATACATACGACCATTCAAAAATAGACAACAGGGGAGAAGTAATTAAAAAACACGTAAGGTTAAAAGAAAATGTAGTTGCTATGCAGAAAATGTTATGATAAAAATATTTACTGTAGTTTAAAAATCATCACAATATCTCAAAAATTATCATTAACATTATGTAAAATAACATACATTATATATATTTATATTAATGCATATTGTGATAAAGACCAAACTACTTGAAGACCTAGTGTACTTTGAGGTGTTTTCGACACTGAAATGCCAGTGTTCGTATTTGAATAAATAAACCTAAACGAAAACCTTAGCTAAGGCATCAGCCCCAGCAGAAGCAATATAGGGCCTTGATGGATGGAAAGCCACATCTAAAATACTCTCATCAAACTTCTTTCTATGTGCTGTTATTTCCTGCACACAAGTCTTGTTGTCTAAGTTCCACAACCTTATAGAGCAATCGTGTGAACCAGACAGCAAATACAAACCATTGGGATCCACTGCTAAACTAGTAACAGCATCCAAATGTGCAACCATAGAATGTATTAACTGTCCTGTATTATTATCCCAAAACCTAATATTTCTATCTTCATGAGCAGTTATTGACACAGGCAATGTAGGATGTGTGACTACTTTGTAAATCATTTTCCCTGTAACACTATTTGATAGCTCCGGTGATTCTAATTTTAATACTTGTTTTCCAGTTTCACTGTCAAATATAACACAATGAGACGTATTGTAAGCAGCTATTACTCTACTAGGATCATCTCTGACAAAATCTACAGAACTAGGAATACCATCAGGTTCTGATGAAAATGTGTTCAACAATGGGGATTTAACACCAGGAGACCACAATTTAACAGTGCCATCGGCAGAGCATGATAGAAGCTGTGTTCTAAGATTTAGATAAGACAAACCCCAAACGGCATCAGTATGACCTTCTAATGTTGTAATGAAAACTTCAGGTTCATATGAGTCATATGGATCTATATTTATATTTGGTACACTCCACATATTTATTGCTCCATCTGTGCCTCCTGAATAACAATGCTGACCATTTGTTGACATTGTAAGACATAAAACTGGACCATTATGTAAACGAAACGTGTATAAAGGTTCCACATCTAAACTAGCAGACTTTTTGGCTGGTACTGTTTTCTGTAAGTTCCATAATTTCAATGTGTGATCTTCAGATGCTGTGATGAGAACTGAGTCAACCGGATGAAATGCTAATGCTCTTACGCCATCAAAATGTGATCGTAGTGTGTACTTTGCATTCCAAGTTTTACGAAAAGAATCTTTTGTACTAGACACATCGTATGATGATTCAGCATCGTTATTCACCGTCAGTTGAGCTAATTCGCCAAGACCAAGACTTGTGTCCATATTTTCTTCATCGCCTTTAAGATTAGTTAAACCACAGCGATTCACATTTGCATTTTGAAATCCTACAGACAAAATGATCAATATAAGGTACTGAAAATAGTTACAACAAACTATTCAAAGAAGTCTTTTTAATAAATCTCTAGGTAAATAAATTGTTTACAAAATTAGTCACGCATTTAAATTAGTTTTAGTTAGCAGAGTGTTCTCGGAAAGCAAGCCGACCAGAAGCGCAAATTAATCACGGACCACATTTAAATACTTTTATATCATTTATCTTTTTGTTTAATATTTTGCTCCTAGTAGATCCACAGCACGTAGCTACTAATATCCAATCATTTCTCATTGCTGACAATTTCTGATCATTTTCAATTATAAATTGCAGAATAAATGAATTTAAGAGCTATAACGTACCTGATGCCTGTATCCAGTCAGCTTGATCACCTTGTGATCTCAGATCTCCAGATTCTTCGGTTTCTGTCAGTAGATTCAATTCGTTGAGAACTTCTTCTGCTTCAGCATCAACATCATCTTCAGAAAAATCATAAATGAGTTATAAGATTAGTTAAATAAAATATTCGTAACAATGCATATATGAAATATCATGATGATGATAGTACTGATGTATAAATAATTTTATTATTGTTCTCACCAGATGTTTTATTTCTGATTTTACGCCGTGTTGTATGACAAGACGAATCAGTAGCCTCCAAATCGATTTCGTCTGACAATTCGTCATCTGACATATCGACATCGGTCTGCGCTAAAAACTCGAAATTTGCCATCACCGCAGCTTCCGAGTCCATTATCATCGCTTCCGCCATCGAACTAGGTTGAGATTTTTTAGCTGGCGTCCGGCGACCTTTGGAGAGAAAAAGATTGATAAGATTTTATTGATCATAATAAAATAAAATGTATAATAATAATAATAATAAATTATTTGTATGTAAATAATCATTTGATTTGAAAGCGAGTAATAAATATAGGCCGCTGGTGCTACTTACAAAACTATAAATATGGTTGTAGCAACTACTTACTTGATAGGTAAAATAAAATTTCCATATGGATAAATGTAGGGTGAAGATTAAAAAATCAAGCATGAAATTTCTTACATACTTGATATGGACATTTTCAAATTTTCTTGCTCCCAGGGGCTTAAATGCTTCCAAATTGATAAAAAAAATTCTCTAGAAGTTTTAGCTCTTAATATTATTAACGTTTAGATTGTGCGAATTTAAATCTTCGTATGTAAATAGCATAGAAATTTTTATTAAAATTGAAAAAAATAATTTAAGTGTAACTTAGCGGTAAGTGCATTACAAGTGAAAATTCGACGCACTGCAAAACAGGTTTTTATAATTTGTCTTGTAGAGCGTCGACGAATTTTGAATAAATCTCATTCCTTTGTTCGCTAAGTTATATCTAAAAAACATTTTTAAAATTTTTGAAACAATTTTCATGCTATTTCCATACAAAATTTTGATTGAATTGCGCACTATCTAAAAGGCAATGTTAAGAGCTAAAACTTTCAGAGAATTGTTTTTTATTAATTTGGAACCATTTGAACTCTTCGGAGCAAGGAAATTCGAAAATGTCCATATTAAGGACCACCCTAATATATATATATATATATAAATATATATATACGAATTTTGAATAAATCTCATTCCTTTGTTCGCTAAGTTATATCTAAAAAACATTTTTAAAATTTTTGAAACAATTTTCATGCTATTTCCATACAAAATTTTGATTGAATTGCGCACTATCTAAAAGGCAATGTTAAGAGCTAAAACTTTCAGAGAATTGTTTTTTATTAATTTGGAACCATTTGAACTCTTCGGAGCAAGGAAATTCGAAAATGTCCATATTAAGGACCACCCTAATATATATATATATATAAATATACATAATTGTGTAAGGCAGTTAAGTAAATCATAGCAATAGGTTACAGGACTCTTAAGTTCTAAATGCTGTTCAAACAATATTTATAAAAAAAAGTGATTGCAGGAATGCCGGATAAAACTATTATTGCTTGGAAACATACTGCTATCTACATTTTTAAGCAAAATTTAACTACTGCTTGGCATCAAGCTGTTCAAGGATGGTATCGAACCTGGAACTTGATTAAAAAGCCCCTAACAAGAGCATATATGATAATAATTCCTGAATAATCAAAGTACATCATAAGACCAAGCGGTCATTTGGCTGGCTTTCATGTCGGAGTTCGTATCACGACTGTTAAATAACTACTCTCTATTACATTTGTACAAATAAGTCCAAATTGGACATTAAAGCAAAGCAAAACTAAGACAACATGCAAGCTCCGTATAAAAAATAAGCCAGGTCCCAAATTCCACTTCAAACGATCACCTTGATTATCACCAGCGCGTTTGTGTGTCTCGTTACCGTTGCCGTTGATGCTGCCTGTTCCCGTCACTCCGCCTCCCGTGTTCTGTCCGACTCCTTGGCCGCCTGCTCCATCGTCCTGCTGCTCAGTGTTGTTATTGAGACCGAGGAGGGAGCGGACTCGATTCGACCTGACGTCAATTATCGTCTCCGCATAGCCGATCTCTTGTAAATACTGTCGAAGGAGTTGTCTGCCTTGGCGCCATGTTATGTTCGATACGCTGCTGAAGGGGGCTTCGGAATCTATAAAAATAATAGAGTTAAAATACACCATAAATGAGTGAAGGAAAAAGCTCAATATAGGCTTAAAAACTACATATATAACAAATCATTTATAATCCTTTATGTAATAATTTCACTATTTTTGTCATTATAATTGCA